CAACTGTACTCCTCCATCCCAATGAACACCCACAAGACAGCAACCGAAAGCTCATGGTTAGCGGTTGTAACAACTGAAGCTGATTACTGATACAATCTCTGTCAAATTTTAGGTTCCTTTGTAATTGTTTGTGAAGCCAAATAACGTCACAATGGCTTTGGACAGCCTTTGTTTTCATCTGGAAACAGAACACTGGTCATCACCGTATCAGTTCTCGTCGAACAACTCGTTTTTACTTCTATTCTGCGTACAACCTGGTGTCTTTTTGTTGATTACCAATCTTAGACCACTGATAAATTCACACTTCCCTATTCCTTCATTCACTCGGCTATTCAAAAAATTCACAGCCCGGTCAACCGAGTAACAGCGATCCAAAATACCGGCGCAAATTTTCTTCATTTTTCAAATCGCTGGTCATTGAACTAGATCGAGAATTGTACGGACCGGATAGNCGGATAGCCATTTAGTCGAATGGCATCGTACACCAACCACAGCTGAGACGGACGGTTTCCAAGTGAAACGTCCAGGAGACAGTAATGTTCGTTGCACTGTGATTCTCGTGTTGGATCATCAACCGCCGGAATACAAGTTGGACCAGAGACTTGCACGCATCTTGGCTTTACACACCGGTACTCGTTCGCAAATATTCTACGCTCTTTGGAGCTATATAAAAACGCATAAGTGAGTCCTTGGTATTTTAAAGTACTCATTCCATGGTGAATGTTCAAAAACTGCGTCCATATATAATTGATAACCAGTTAGAACCTCTACTGCTTTTTAACGTTTGTGCTAAAAACCTGAAATACCCATCAAATCTGCCCACTGCGAGAAATGATCGAACTGTTTAGCGCTGGAATAGGCCGCTAATTCAACATCCTTTGCTATTTGTACATTGGTTTTCTTGTTTAAAAGTTCTTGGGAATAGAGAAACTTATTTATTTCACCGGTTTAAGACTTTGGTGGCATGTACGTACATTAAGCATTGTCTCTCGGAATATTTTAAACATGGAACATTCCAAGCATTTTTATAAAAATTTACCACACGATGCCAATCTAGTTTTACGCAACATATAACGTGATTATAATAATCAGTATCTAATCAACACTAACCTCGTTATCTGTTTCACTGTGTTCGATTGAACACGTCCACAGATTACAAGATCCGAACGAGAAAGATTTCATTAATTGCGATCCATACCTGGAACAAGTGTTTGGTTGTCCTCGAATGCGGTTTGCCGAGGTTCCTAGCCGTCTGGCTCCTCTGCAACAACCCCCGGACCCAATCGTTATCAATCATATGATCACGGTCGAGGGCGACGCACCGAAAACTGCCTATTATGATATCGAAGTGGAAGTGGTTAGTTTAACTATATATATATATATATATATATATATATATATATATATATATATATATATA